AGATGATGTCTAGGCTCTTTTTTTGATCATGGCTTTCAGAGAGTCTAATAATTTTTAAATTAACTCTCCTGGATCTATTTTCTAGGTCTGTTGTTTTTGCAATGAGATATTTCACATTGTTTTCTAATTTTTCATTCTTTTGCATTGGTTTTACAGTGTCTTGATTTCTCATAAAGTCACTAGCTTCCAATTGCTCTATTCTAATTTTTAAGGAAGTATTTTCTCCAGTAAACTTTTGGACTTCCTTTTCCATTTGGCCAATTTTGCTTATAGAGCATTCGTCTCCTCATTGGCTTTTTGGTCCTCTTTTGCCATTTGGGTTAGGCTATTTTTTAAGGTATTATTTTCTTCAATATTTTTTGGGTCTCCTTTAGGAAGTTTGTTGACTTGTTTTTCCTGATTTTCTTGCATCACTCTCATTTCTCTTCCCAATTTTTTCTGTACTTCTCTTACTTGCTTCTCAAAATCCTTTTTGAGCTCTTCCAAGGTCTGGGAACGATTCATATTTTTCTTGGAGGCTTTGGATGTAGGAGCTTTGACTTTGTTGTCTTCTTCTGGTTGTATGTTTTGATATTGTCACCAAAGTAAGATAATATAGTATGACTCTTTTTGCTCTGCTTACTCATGATCTCGGCCAGTTACTTGAGTTTTAAACTCTTTGCTAAAGTAAAAGTCTGCTTCCAATGGAAGAGTCTGCTTCCAATGTGTCCTAAGCTTCAGGGGTTTGTACAGCTATTTTCAGAGGTACTTCTAGGGACCTGTAAATTTTCAGTTCTTCCAAGGTGGTACAATATGGGGCAAGGTGTTTACTCCTTTCCTGGCCTGTGCTCTTCTCTATGAGTGATCACAAGCATTCTTTTCTGCCTTGGAACTGTGAGGAGGATTTCCTCTCCTCCACCACTACAAGCTCCACTCCTCCTCACCCCAGGACCGCCACCCAGAACTGTGACCCGGATCCAAGTACAGGCAAAGCAAGAGAATCCTGCACTAGCAGACAGATCCCTGAAGCCCCTGCTCATCAGTCACTGGATTCCCCCTTAGTCTGTGGGCAGAAGTTCTGGGAGCAGCCGCTGCCCCGGGGCCAAGCTCTTGGACCAGAACTGGGACCATACCTCTCTCTCACCTCAGTCACAGACTTTTCCCACTGACCTTCTAAGTTCTCTTTGGCGTTCATGGGTTAGGAAGCCCGGAAACTGCCACAGTTTCCCATGATTCAGTCCTCTAACGGGTGCTCTAGGTTTGCTGAGGCCTGTTTTGCCGACGCGCCCATGCCGAACTGAGCTCCTCTTCCTGCCTGGCGCAATATACCTTTCTGATCAACCATCTAGGCTGTCTTGGGCTGGAAATTTGTTTCACTCTGTCTTTTTGTGGGTTCTGCGGCTTTAGAATTTTAGAGCCATTTTTTACAGGTATTTGGAGGAGTTTGGGGGAGAGCTCGAGTAAGTCACTACTTTTACTCTGCCATTTTGGTTCTGCCCCCTCTTTGTCCTCAAAGACATCTTTCTATCTGATTAAATGCTATTTAAGACAAAAATCTTTTCCCCTAAGCTTTCACTAGTATCTCTCTGTCTTTCACTCTTTGGCCCAATCTTATAAGCATAAATAAGTCTCAAAGTTAATACAATTTAAGTACAATTAAGTACAATTTCTTAATAGTTCAGCAAACAATAAAAGGAATATATATATACATATATATACATATATATGTATATATATATATATATATGTACAATATATAAGAAACAGGCCCTGTGAGAGTAATAGTCCTTGAGGCTGGAGTAATGCATATACACCCAACAACATTAGAACATCAATGAGTGGAAAACATGAAGAAGACAGATTTGAAATCCTCCTTCACTAAACTGTGGAAACCAGGGAACTATTGTCACAGGTGCACAAAATATTTTCTGAGTTAAAAAATCAAAATTGTTTTGGAAATTATTTTATTTGAAAAACGTTTGATTTGCATAAGCAGAATTACGTACCATAAGAATCCAGAAAATTTGTAGTTATGACCTTGCATTAAAAGAAACACATTAAAAAATCTTTCCATCAAATTTATTATTAATTCATGGCCTTCATCTATCAAAAAAAAAAGAGAATTACTGATTTCAATGCGTCATT